AGATATAAGTTTTCTAATATCATTTATTTTAATGCTAATAATCTATTATTTAATCATTAACTATTTCACAAAATTTTTCTACTTTAAAGTTTATCCACTAAAACAAACTTTATATGATAAACTTTAGTTAAGATTAGATTTTTCATAAAAAAAACTTTTAATCTATGATTTTTATTCCAAAATTGTTCTAGAAAATTATTTCAAATAAATTATAATAACATAAAAATAATATTTACACTAGAAAATTTTTTATTATTATTTTTAAAATCTAAATTTTGAAGAAATTATTAAAGATGTTAAATGATTCTTAACTAATATTATAAGAAATTAACATTTATAATAAAGTATTAATTATTAAAAAATAATAAAAATGTTAAAAATAATATCAAAAATAATATCAATTATGTATAGTATATTAATTATATATGCTAAAAGAATTATATTACTTTTCATTTTTTATATCTATTTATTATATATTATCTATAATATAATTTTAAAATTATTATTTTATTATATTGCTATTTTTACTTAATTTGTTATTTTTATTTTATTAATTATTATACCTAAAAATAATATATAAAAATGATTATTTTTTTCATATTAATATGTGAAAGCAAAAGGTTAATTAGTAGAAATACTTAGTTATTAAGTAAATTTAATTTTAAAAGAATCCTTATAGATCTCTGATTTTTATTTAAAAGGTATAGCAACCCCATTCTAAAAGTACATTCTCAGATAATTATTACCTAGTATAGATTACTTGAAATAGCTATAACTTGTCATTATAAGTTCACTAAATCATAAGATACTATTATTTTTAGATAAAAGGCTCATTTCAACTATAAAACTTATTACACTTATTTTAATAATCTAATTTATAAGGTTTATCTTATTAATAACTTCTGAAACTTAAGATTAGATTCTTTATATAGATAATGATTTTATATCTATAATGTCAAATTTACCTAAAAATTGAATTCAGTTCCTATTCCTAATGATAACTTGATTAGATAATGATATAGCAGTACAATGCAGTCTATTATTACTAAAGCTACCTGAAAATAGTATTCAATCTACTAATTACTGATTAACTATTTCTTTACTTGTGTAAGAGCAAAGTTGTGATAAAACAGTATCTGATTAATATAGATCAAATTGGAATAGTCTGAAATATTATCTAATAGTCTGTATTTTACTATATCTAAACTAGCCAATTTGTTCATTTAACGTATCTTACATAAAATTTTCCTATCAAACTATCTGTATGTTTAAAGATCTATATCTTTAGGATTTCATTTAAATTATTTAGATCAATCTATCATCTGAACTTAATTAGAATGATCTGAATATAACAGATTAAAAATTAGAATTAATTTTGATATTTAGAATCGATTTAAGAATCAATTTAATCATGATTATCATTTAATTCTAAGATTTGATTTTTAATTTTTGATTAATTGAATATAATCAATTAATTCATTAAGTTAAATGCTTGAAAATATCTCTAATAAATTAAATCTGAAAAACAAAAATAAAATAATTATTAAAAATTAATAAAATAGAAGATATAATATGTAAATTAAAATTAAAATATATTAAATATTAGATCCTACAATTATAAAAAATTTTTTAAAAACAATCGTAAGAATTTAAAAAATAAATTTAAATTTAAAATAAGTTCAAATTAAAATGATTAATTAATAAATGAAATTAAAATAAAAATATTGTGAATAATTAAATTAAATTTAAAAAAAAATTAAAAATTTGCGGAAAGTAGAATTAAAAATACAGAATTAAAAAAAGAATACATCTAAAAAATTTGATAAAATCAAAAAAATCAATTAAAAATAATAAAAAATTAATTAAAAAAAAATAAAAAAAATTAGTTATAGTATAAAAAAAATAATTAAGAAATTAAATTAAAAATTAAACAAAATCTGATAATAAAGATTAATATATTTATATTCTTTTCATAAAAAAAATCTTTTATTTAAAAAAATAATTCCTTTTAGTAATTAGTTAAATATACATAAATCAAGATATAAGTGTCAGCAACTCTTTTAGAGCAGATAACATTATTCTTAATTTAATATAAATAGAAAACTTTCTATCCTAAGTTATATTTATCTTTTTGTCACTAGTAATCTATTCTTCAGAGAGGTTAGATAATTTAGTAGGTCATTTAGGTCTCAGAATAGGGTACTGTTAGAAGTTTAAATCAGTTTTTTCTCAGTTTTGTGATTTTAATTTATATTTTTGTCTATTACTTCACTAAATCTAATAAAATATAAATTTTAATTAAAAAAAAATTGAGAATAAAAAAAATAAAAAATACAGAATTAAAAAAACAGAAAATAATAAATTATATTATTTTAAAAAAAAAATTAATAATAAAATAAATTTAATTATTTAATTATTTAAAAAATAAAAATATTAAATGAATTTATTATTAAAAATTAATGAGGAAATTGCATTTATACTAATTTTATTCAGATATTTATTATATTTATAAAAAATGTCACCTTTTAATCTTGATTATATTATATAAATAATTTTTTGCTACTTTATTAAAACATCACTTAATTTTTATAAAAAAACACTTTATTGCTTAAAAAATTCATTTACATTTTCATAAAAAAAAAAAAAACTTTTTTATTAAACTGCAATATAATCTTTTTTCAATACTATTATTATTAAAATTATTAAATAATTATATTATTAAAACTAAAGAAAAACTTAATCAGAGTAATCTTAAACTTATTGCAAATGTTATATTAAAGTATTAAGAGAGAAAGAAGGAAAAAACATTTTTTTCAAACAAACAGATAAAATAGTATAATATTTAAAAAAGTATACTTATTTTTTGCAACAATAACATCAGATATAAGAAATGAAATTTTTTCATTATAAAGTGGTAATAATAATGAAAAATAATTAGTAAGCAAAAAATCATGTAAGTTTTTAATACATTATATAATTTTTTGATAAATTAATATTAATTTAATTTTATTACAACTTTACAAATCAGTGATGTTTTTTCTACCTCTTTTTTTAATTATTCTAGAAAAGTTATTATTTAATCTATTTTATATAGATCACTTGATAACTTTATTGCTAGTCCTTCTGAGATCACAAATGAAATGATAACACATATTAAAAACAAATTACAACACTAACTTTGGCAATTAATCTGCAAGTACTTCATTGTATGTGATATACTAAATGAGTGGAAGATCGCTTATAACTATCCAATCCCTAAACTAATGGAATGGCATTGTGACATTACTAAAACATGACTTATTATACTTCTTGAAATAGCTAGAAAAGAGTTTGTTAAAATACTTACCAATAGACTTTTCAAACTTCTTACTAAACATGATATTCTTAAAAGTGAAAATTTCGCTAGACTTCCAGCCAGTTCTACTAAACCACCTATTAAAATCATGAATATGCTACTAAAAAATGCTAATAAAAATAATAAGAAATTTGGATTCTTTTTCAAGATCTCTCAAAAACTTACAATCATGTTGATTTCCATTACCTTAAGCTTACTTTACAAAGAATTAAAGTTCCTGACTTGGTCATTGATCTCTTAATCAACTTATTCTCAACTAGAAAGAATGCTATTCTTATTACTAATGGAATCTCAGATTACTATGATGTCAAAATAGGTATAGATCAAGGTGAAGTGATCTTACCTCTTCTGTGATACATCTATTTGAATCACTTGTTGTGTGAAGTTGCTTCACTTAGTAAAGGCTACTCTATTAATTATATATAGACATCAGATCTTACAGACATGTCAACCTCTTCACTTTCTGCGACAGTCTCTTCATTAGCTTTCATGAACGATACTAATTAGATTACTAGATTACAACAGGACTTAGAAGATATATTGAAAGTCATAAAGGAGTTTTACGATCTTATTTACTTTACACTCAATAAATTAAAATCAAAACTTCTTACAACTAATACTTCTGCTTACTTCCTTATTAATTTAAAATTTGGATTATCAAATATAGATATTTCACCTAAGATGAGTTTTGTTCATTTCTTAAGTATCTGAATTAATAGTCGTTGCTCTCAATTATTTGTTAAAAAACAATTGCAACAAGATATCAACAAATTTATTAACTCAATGAGATACAAACCTCTTACTGATAAGCAAATTGCCTATATTATTAACATGATTCTCTATCCTGTTCTTAAATATAAAATGCAACTCACACCTTTATCTAAAACTGAATATGCTAAATATTTTACCCCATCCATTCTCTCTTCAAATCAAAAAATAATTTTGCTATCACCTTACCTACCGTTTTGTTAAATTTTAAGCAGTTTTATGTTAATAATTTTTGGTTATTACAAATCAAATTTCTCTTTACTGCTCTCTTATTTCAATTAACAATTCTTATCTCTAAAAACATATTTCAATCATCAGACTCTTCCAACTTTAATCACAATATATGCTTGTCTCATTCTTCCTAGATCATTGACCTTTTTTTTATAAAGCTAAATCTTCTAACTCCAATTTAATTGATACATCTTTTAGTCTCATTAAATCTACCTCTTCACAACTTTCTCTAACTGTTTCACCATTCTTGAAAAATCATATTAAAGGTGGTACTACTCTTTTTATCTAATTACTTCTCCTTCCTTTATTTGAATTTTACCTCACAACATTTCGCAACTAAAATTTGTTCTTATTTGATCAACTAACCTCAATTACAGGAAAACATTTAATTACTACTAATGATCTTCTTATTAGAAATTTTAACCATATTACAGCTCGTTTAAGTAACTCTCGATTATTATAAGATATTAGTAATATAGTTTTGGATAACCATAGAGATTGATTCTTCAAAGTAGAATTCGTGCATAGCATCTCTTTCCTTCCTACAGATCTTTAGTTAAACCTCTTCCTACTGTAGATACAAACAACTAAGTCATTGCCTTGTGGAATCCGCTTATTAATGCTTTCTCTTTTGGTAAAATTTATGATGCTTACTTCAATGTGTATATCATATATATGTAACTACAAATGATTTTATTAATGTTCTCACTAAATGCTCTGGATGTATTTTATTCAATACAAGACCCTCTCGTCGAGGTTGTACTTTCAATATTCCTAGAATCAGGGCTTTTCATATTCCTGTCTTTAGAAAAACAAAGAATACTTTTGCGAATCAACTTGAACACTCTCTAATGAAAATCACCTGTATCACTTTTGAAGCATTTTATGGACCTGCTCCTACTCCTGCTACTCCTATTATTTCTAACATTATCACTGCTATTTTTGAAGATTCTCCTTATCTCTCTTGTCTTTTGGAGTTACAATCTAATCTTTGTTAATCCCATTCACTTACCTTTTATACTGATGACTCTTTGAAGAACACAAAGTCAAAAGACTGCCTAATAGGCCTTGGTTGAATTTGTATTGACAACAATAACTTGCAATATCAATTTTATACTTTCCTTATTAATTGGCTATCATCAATTAGGGCTGAACTGTTTGCTCTACTTTCAGCTTTAATTGTTTCACCTAAGAATTTAAATATTTTCATTTACATTGATAGCTAAGTTCTTATTCATGAGTTCTCACGTTATATCATAATAGATACATTATCAACCAGAAGAATGGAGAAAGTTCCTAATTATTCTATATGGCATCTCATCAACCATACTAAGTTTTCACTCAATCTCACTATCACTTTCACTAAAGTCAAATCACATACAGGCAATGTTCTTAATGATATATCTGACTCTTTTGCTAAGCAAAGATGTCATTTTCTATCTCTAACTCCTTCACTTGTTAATTGTAACTCATATGCTCTTTTCTTCAGTTATCAAAATGTCTTTATAGAAGGCTCTATTCGCAATTACTTTAAAGACTTCTTCTTTGCACAAACCTTTGATCATTTTTTAAATCTCAATAGAAATTCAGATATCAAAGATATAACTAAAAACTCATCAATTGATTGGATCACTATTTGGTTACTATTTTCATTGGATACACTAGTTCTATCAACCTTTTTTGCTTTTGCTAAACTTAAGACTTTCATAATCAAAAACTTTATCAATGAACTCCTAACTCTCACACGTATAAAATAACTCTATCCTGATCTTTATATTAAATGGTATTGTATTGATTGTTATGTTAAAAATAAAATACCCTTTTACTTCTAGACTTATAATACATTCTCTTCAAAAATGAATGATATCATTTTAAACACTAAAGTTCTCACTAGTGATCTTATCTTGAAAAATGGTAACTCTTACGCTCTCTCTCACTCTTTCCTAACTTTCTTAATCTCTTTGATAAAGTATTCGCTACACCCTTTCGCAATAATGATAGTTATTATAATATCATCAGGTCTTGCATTCCCTCAAAACTAGTTTCTATAATATATTAAATTGTCAGAAGCAAATACTCAGCAATCTCAATTACGGTCAAAATATGTCTATTCTTTTTCAAAAAGATATATGATAATGTTTGAAAATCTAGATGTAATCTTATGATTAAAAAAGAATGATCTCAAGGAATTACAAAAAAAGACAAATGCTTATGTGATGCAAATAAGTTTGTGAATTATCAACCTATTCCTAATGAGTCCTATACTTAGGAACTTTGAATATATCTAACGACTAAATATGGTAACAAAATTTTCTGATTTCTTAGAATGCACTGATTTTTCTTTTTCTTTTCTTAGTGATAATAATAGTCATTAGTTATGCAATTAGTAGGTCTGTTAGAAAGAAAAAACAATAGGTCGATTCAAACGGGTTTGAAATATAACAATAAGAGATAGCTAGTACTTAGAATAGTTTGTTTTTCTTAAATTGTATTTTTAATTTAATAAATTAATAAAGTGTTTGGTAGTGCCACATCGTTAAAAAAAATATCATATTTTTATAAGGGATTGGCATCCTTGGCTTATTCTGTAAGATATAAGTTCCTATTGTAAGTTATACTGCAATAGATCCTAGTTCAGTACCTGCCAAGTAAATACTATTTAATAAACTTGACTCTGTAATCAATTTTCAATCTATTTTTGATATATAAAATCTTCTAATGTATGAAATATTTTATCAAAGTGTAGATTTAAATATGCAAAAAGAAAATATTCAACAACTAATACTTTAATTAGCATGATATAACATTCTTTTTTTTGAATATGAAAAATCTGATGTAGATCATCAAATAACATAAGTTTTTAAATATAAAAATTAATGATTTACTCAACACTGTAATTACGGTATTTCAACCATAATATTGCATAAATATTATAGATCGTAAACTTTGTGACAAACTTTAATCAATTAAAAAATGTATATATGAATATGCATTATTATATTAATTATGCAACTCTTAATCACTGATTGTATTATTATGCATAATTTATTTTAATTTTTATAAAAATAGTAATTCCATATACTTCATATATTTTTATTTATTTACGCTATATTATTCATATTTTTTTTTACTATTTTTGTTTCTTTCTTTTCTTTCTCTCTCTTTTTTTTTTGAAATAGAAATTTTTGTAATTTAGATATAGAATTATTATAGAATAGACAATTAATAGAATCTAAAAAATATTTTATTTAATTTTAACTTTTTTTGTATTTTTTTTAATCTCTTTTAAAAAAGTTGTCATTGCAAGATAAAAATTAAAACGAACACATTTTATCCATTTTTCGTAATGTAATATTACATTTCTTCTTTTAGTAAAAACTTGCTTGATTATAATCATATTTAGTTTTAAAATCTAATTTTAATCTATTATTTTTTCATTTTTTTACAAAAAAAGTTAAAAATGAACAAAAGAAAAGTTTTAACTTACCAAATTCAAGAATAAGCTGGATCAAGCAAAAGAACAAAAACCTTAAACTCTAAAAAGAAGCATATTGACAAGTTATTTGTAAAAGATATATAAAAGTACTAATTTAGTATTTTTTAAAGATATGCATATAATTTTTTTTAAAAAAAAATTTTTTTTATTTATATAAAGTTTTGATAATAATATTGGAAAAGATATTAAATCAAAATGCGAAACTTAATGCTAAACTTGATATATTAATATCAGGTCAAAAAAACTAGAGGAAAGAATCATAAAGTTGGAAGAGAATTGTATAAAGCATATAGGCATTGATAAAACTTTTGAAAAAGTAAGTATTATTTTATATTATTCCAGTTTATATTTTTTCACAAAAAAGTACTGATGTATATTATATATTATTTTAAATTATTTTATTATAAAATCTGATTAAAAATATTGCAAAAAGATGCTAACTAAATTAATATACCTAACACAAGAAAAATTATGAAAAATTACAGAAGAAAATGTATCAGCAAATCACGCTGAATTTTTTGGTAAATTTACCTGAAAGCGTTAAATGTCTTTTTATGAAAAAAATATTTATCATGCTGTAAGTATTATTACACCTAAAATTGATATGCAAAAATGATCTACAAGGTTAAAAGGATGATCAATTTCATGTCATATTAAAAATGATTTGCAGTACTATAACTAAGTTAGATAATTAAATGATTTACATGTCTTATTTTCTAAATTTAGTAGTCTAATTTTGTTATACAAATAGGCCTTATTACGTCATACAATATTAATAACATTTATTTCATTTTTCTCATTTATTTTATTTTATTCATTTATGTTATTTATCTATTATATTTATTTTATCTATTTTATTTATTTTCTTTATTTTATTTATTTTATCATTATTAGTGAGTATTTTTATATAAATAGGAGTAATCCATCGATGTAAAAAGGATAAGAACTATCTTGTCTTGAATAATTCTTTTAATAAATAAACTGTTTAGTACAGACACGCCGACAGAGGCAGTACTAGTCTTTTGTTTGTTAAATAATTATTTGCACATATTTCACCTAATTTATCGTAATTCTCTTTAATTTTTTATTTTGTATCTTTATCTTTACTCTTTCGTATGAAGGAAACCTTCTGCTAAAACTGTGATATTGTAGGTGATTTACCCGCGATCTAAAAGAACTGGTGTAATAGTATGCTCACTTAAATATAAATGTAATAAGATTTATATATAATTTTAATGTTTTCAATACTTATTAATAGCTATTAAAACAACATCAGAACCTCTGTGATACTTTAACATTATGAATTAAGGATGCAATATTTACAGTATTTGACGAGATCCAGCTACCACTAATAAATACTAATGCAAGTCTGACAGAGATTCAAAGTTGAAAAAAATCCAAAAAATTAAAGGAATATCAGATTAAATTATTTGCTCCAATAAAGAAAAGTAAACAAACTACCCACTTAACTTATATTTTAGATAAAGTTTGGAGATCTAAGGAGCGAATATCATTTCAAATAGCCTACATTACTGCTATATGTAAAATCCTTTTAAATTCTAAAATAAAAAATATACAGATTTCTGAAAACATTATTAAATTGCATATGAATAAATTTTGGTAAGTTTTCTAAATTTACAAATATACTAAATAATTTAATTAAAAGATTCTAGAACTTGCAAATAGGCTAAATATTTTAATTATAATTTTTTTTGTTTAAACTGATAATGATGATGCTTGGAGCGACATTTCAACCATCTTAACCACTACCTCAAATATCTTTAACACCTCTAACCATATTACTGACAATAATAACGTTCATAAATATAATAATAATAAATTTGATGATGATGACGAATATAATGATAAAAATAACGATAAAGAATTAATTCAATAATGTAAACTATATTTATTTAATATAATTAGTATTTTATTTAATATTGTGTAAGTTATATATTACTGATTTATTTTACCAAAATCTTTCTTCAACATTTTTAAAATATATATCAGTTTTTTTTTCAGTTTTTTTGAAGGGAAATGGACTTTTTTTTTTGACTATAATAGAACTAACAGGGAAAATAAACTTTTTCATAATGTAATGTAAGCCATATTTATTTTAATATAATTAGTATTTTATTTAATGTTGCTTAAGTTATATATTACTGACTTATTTTTAATCAGTTTTTTTTTCAATTTTTTGGAAGGGAAATAGACTTTTTTTTTGACTATAATAGAACTAATGAAGAGAAATGGACTTTACATAACATAATGTAAACCATATTTATTTAATATAATTAGTATTTTATTTAATATTACGTAAATTATGTATTACTGACTTATTTTTATCTAAATCTTTTTTTAACATTTTTAAAATATATATTAGTTTTTTTTCAGTTTTTTTGAAAGTATTTAATGTCACGTAAATTATATATTACTGACTTATTTTTACCAAAATCTTCTTTCAACATTTTCAAAATGTATATCAATTTTCTTTTTTCAGAT